CATTATTTTAACCAGATGTAGTTAATTATAAGATTTTTTTTCAGATGTGATTACTTTTGGAGGAAATTCTTCCTGATATTATTGGACTTGGAGAAAATTTACCAGAAGTAGTCATATCTTCCGAAAGATATTGTTAGGGGTCATTGAATTTCCAGTTTATATTGGGCAGATGTTGTTGGAGTAAAAAATGTAGAGATGATCTTGGATAATAATATACAGATGATCTTGGACTACTCTATAGATGTAGTTGGATAGATGTAGTAATTTTTTATCTTAATTTATGATATACAACGACTCGATATTTACCATGTGCAATTGACTGGGACTATTCCGATTTAACTTTAATTTTAGATTTAAATTTAAATTTAGATTGGCTTTTAAATTTCACTTAACCTTTAGTAGATTAATGTAAACTTCACTGCGTCCACGTCATTATCAGTTAATGATATACCCGTTATATCACGAATTAAAATATAAATAGTAATAATATAATAAGTAATGAAGATAATAGTATAAAATTATTTAAACAACAATAATAGTTAATACGCATTAGCATAATGTTAATATAACCTGCACCATGACACTAATTTATTCCTAAAAAAATTGTTTAAATAATATATTTAACAAAATTAAATGATTTTAGTGGTTATTTATTCTTTTAGTCAGTGTTAATTTATGAAAGCTTAGATTGAGGTAATAGTGTTTCAAACGTATTACATACACCAAAGAGCAAATTACGTACGCGCGACTTGCTGTTTGTTGTATAGCTTTTCTTTTTTCTTTGGGTACAAGTTCTTTCAAAGCATATTTTATATTTGAATAAGTTTTATCTTAATCGATTTTAAGATTATACAATGAATTTATAGAGGTTCGTTGGTTTTTTTTTGATATAATTAACATAACCACAGTTCACTGTTTCCGTTATTAATTCATAGCGTTTTTTACCGGAAATAGCAAGTTTAAAAAAAGGTTTCTTGACCGGCGTAAAAAAGGAAACGTTTTAAGTTCAATTGAAATAAATTTTACTTCCAAGAGTTTTATGTTTTTTTTTCAAAATGAAAAAATAGAAAAAAATGATTACGCGGTTGAAAATTTGAAACTTCATCAAAATTATATTTTATCTTCTTCAAAATAAAATACTCTACAAAATTATCAAAAAATTTTTGCAAAATGTTAATTCAATAATTATTTTGGAATCAAAAAATTAACTTTTTCACAACTATTTCATGCTCTACCCTTTTTATTCTATAGTCGTTCTTGTTTATTTTATAACGAATATATATTCGTTAACGAATATTAATTGTTAAACGAATATTAGCATACAAATATAGTTGTACATTTCAAATAGTTTAAACAAATATTAGTAAACAAATAATTTAAACGAATGTTCTCTTACAATTACTTGTTAATCGATATCCGATAAACGATCAAATAATCCTCTCAACTTATAAATGATAATTAGCTACAATAAATTATCATATAGACAAGAAACTAAATGGATGAGTATAATAAAGCAAAAAAGGTATCATTTAGACAAGAAACTAAATGGATGAGAGTTAAAGAAGTATAAGATATAAATGATACTTAGTAACTCATACTTATATTTTTACTCAAATATTATATACATCTAGTAGTTAGTTTACTATTGTTGCTTTAAGTGTTGAACACAGTATAAAAAAGATACCAAAAAAAGAAGATACCACGAAAAGAAGATACCACGCGAGAATTTCGGTACCACACAAAGTTTAATTTAAATAACAGTACCATATAATAAATTAAATTGTAAAAAATGATACCGCATAATTAATAAAAAGTCTAGTAAATAAGAGGGAGGAGGGGCGTGAATGTTTAAAAGGTACCCAATGCTTTTTAAAATAGAAAAAAATTCTTTAAAACTAAAAATCACCCGACTCAAACGTATCAAATACCCAACAAAAAACAGATTAAAGCTTAAACGTCTTCTGTGCAGGGATGAGGGGTATTCCTTCCCTTCCTCTTCACCTGCCTGTCGAATCGAATCTGCCTGTTGAATCTCTCCACAGATTATGTATTATGTTAAATATCAGGGCCGCCCCGAAAAGATTTTAAAGGATAGAGCGGGTGACGTATCTGTTTATGCCGACTAAGGTCGAAAAAATTTTTTGCCGACTAAAATCAAAAAAAAAAAAAAAAAGGTCCTCGTTAGCTGACATTTGCCCTCTTATAGATCCAATTTTTATTATAGATCTAATTTTTGCACTGGTGGCCAAATAAACCGCCGGGTTATGCATTGTGTCACTTCAGTGAAATCTTTTTTATTCAAGAATATTTGTATTGTAAAACAGAAATATTTTTTTTTAAATCCAAACAAAGTGCTAAGAGTCATAATTAAGGTAAAATGGTAAAATTGCGGGGTTCTAAGCCCGTTTAGATGCTCGTTACAAAATATATATAGCTGGTTACAACATATACTCTTTAAAAGTTTTTTAAAGAATATATATTTTATAAAATTAGAAAAGTGTGTTTTTAAAATCGGAAAAAATGATAAGGGTCACAAGTGGAACAAAGGGTAAAATTGAGAGGGCCTAACCCCACTTAAGCATTTTAGATAAAATGAATTTCAAATTATTTAAACAAAGTCAAAATCAACAAAAAAACATTTGAATTGGACTTAAACAAGAATCTTTTTATATTTTAATGTTTTTCATAAAATGAACTCTAAGTTGAGAATACTGAGATGTAAAGGTGGAAGTTACTGGAAGAGAAAAGATGAAGTTTATAGAACAAGAAAACAATTGACAGACGACTTAAAAGAGTGCAAATTATATGAATCAGGAAAACAAGATGAAGGAAGTAAGTTCCAAAGAGCTGATGTTCGAGGAAAAAAACTAGACAAATTAGAGTTTTTGGAGCACCTAGGAATAGTCACAGAAAAAGAATGTGACTTGATTGACAAGTAACACGAGAATGAATTTTAGCAGATGACACAAGAGACGCTAGTTCTTTTGAGCAGTGCCTGTTGTAGTATACAACAATATTTTAATTACGACAATGTGTTAATGGTTGGTGGTGGATTTGATAGATGGTTTCCGAGAAAGACCGGAAGTAAGAGTTAATCCTAGAAATCTAAAATTCCCAAGACAGTTTGTTAAACAGTATGAAGACTCCATGCTAAATTTAAACCTACATAGAATAGATTTAAAGATATAAAAGAATATACTCAACATTGAGAGCAACTCTGTAGCTACTTTTAATGGAAGAGTTTAATTTAGCGTTTTTATTTACATTCTGCTCTAAAACAGGATTTTTATAGAACAAATATTCTCACTAAAAAATTAATATTTTGCAACATACATCTAGAATTTAAATGGGATATGATCCCCTCAATTTAAACCTTTTGCATTAATTTTAACACTTAGCAATTTGTTTGGATTTAAATATATATATATATATATATATATATATATATATATATATATATATATATATATATATATATATATATATATATATATATATATATATATATATATATATATATATATATATATATATATATATATATATATATATATATATATATATATATATATATATATATATATATATATATATATATATATATATATATATATATATATATATATATATATATATATATATATATATATATATATATATATATATATATATATATATATATATATATATATATATATATATATATATATATATATATATATATATATATATATATATATATATATAGGCTCGGCTAGAATATATGAGTACGAGAGCGGAGAAAAGCTCTCCTAAAACGATATATATATAATATATATATATATATATATATATATATATATATATATATATATATATATATATATATATATATATATATATATATATATATATATATATGTATATATATATATATATATATATTTATTTATATATATATATATATATATATATATATATATATATATATATATATATATATATATATATATATATATATATATATATATATATATGTATATATATATATATATATATATATATATATATATATATATATATATATATATCTGGTATATAGGCCTGTATATATATATATAGGGGCGAATTATGTTATCGCGAATCGAAAATTCTGTTAAAAATTCTGGTCTTTAAATTTTTAGTTTGTCCGATAAAAACGCGCAAAAATGGTTTTCAAGAAAAACAAAATTTGAAGACCATAAAGTTTTACGGAATTTTCAATTCGCGGTCACTTAATTCACTTATTCAGATATATATATTAGTGATGTACCGATTGCACATTTTTGGCCGATGCCGATACCGATGCCGATGGATAGGAAAAGGCCGATACCGATGCCGATACCGATAGATTAACTAGCTATTATAATTTGATAATATAAAACCATACAACTTTAAATCGTGTAAAATTTTTCATGGAATCAGAACTGGTAAGCAAATACTTGGACCCAAATCAGAGTCAAACCTTTATTTCAAAAGATATTAGAAAAGCTCAATCAAATAAATATACATTTTTTACTTTTTTTTTAACTATGAAAAGAAAACTTTCAAAAAATAAATACAATTTTAGGGATAAAAATATAAAAATGCCATTAGTTGGAAAATCGGTAAATTGATAAGGAAAGACCGATGCCGATACCCATACCGATTGTGCCGATTAAGCCGATGCCAATGCCGATTAATCGGTACATCTCTAATATATATATATATATATATATATATATATATATATATATATATATATATATATATATATATATATATATATATATATATATATATATATATATATATATATATATATACATAAATGAAAAATATTAAGTAACATAAAAATAAAAATAAATTTTCACGTGATTTGTCTCGTTCCGCCAGCTATGTCTTTGAGAAAAAATTTAATTGATTTCTTAATCATTTTGAGTATTATACAATGGTATTTTTTAACGCAAATATTTTTAATTTTTTAATAATTTAGCAGTTACCTCTTGAATCAGCATCTGTAAATCGAAGAGTGCTTTCTCTTGTTAAGCAACCATTTTCAGATGAGCATGTTTTCCAAAGCCCCATAGTATTTTTCTCATCTTGTTGCCACCATGAGTTTCCAAATAATCCACATATAACACAAATAAAACCAAAAAGCGTTAACGCTAAAGTAACGGTTAACAAAATATTTCGATATATTTTTTTCATTATTACCTTTAAATTTTAAACTCGATTTTTTCAAAGCGAACAGACTTTTCTTTTAAATTGAATACAAAGTTTAATCATTAATATCGTACTCAGATACGAACCGCTTTTCCTGATCAATAAAGTTAATATTGGCCACATCTAGATAATTGCTACAAAATTTGAATTGCAACCGCAGCAATAAATCAATTATAAAAAATATAATCTGATCTATAATCACACAAGGTATGACATCATGGTTACATCTAACTATAGAAATTCATAGTGACATGCACCTTTATCGCCAACTTAAGCAAGATTATATTTATGTTAAGATTAATAGCAAGTATCTTTGAAACTAATATTATTAGGGTTCAGAAAGTAAATTAATTCATTTTGTTTTCAAAAAAGTTAATGTGAACTACTTCCTTTCCAACGGACGCATATTATAAGTGTTTAATTGCTAAAAATGCCATAGAAACATTAGATAAATGCAATTTTTTTGATGATGTCAAAATTTATATTGGAAAAAAAAACATTTTGTGTTAAATGTGATAATATAAAATGTTAATACTGATATTGAATATTCTAAATTATAGTTTAAAATTCATTAGACTTCGTGTAACGGTTCAAGGTACACTTAGTTCAAGAAATAAATGACAGGTAAAATAAATGAAAAAAGACGATCAAAATTTAGACAAATAATAAATAGTAATGACAATAATAAAGTTATAAACTTGGAGCAATTACTTAGGTGTACCCATAAGTACTTACTTAATATATTATGAAAAGAAAAAACCTAGTTGCGTTTAAATCGATATCAGTTTAATGTTTTACGTTAAATTAAAGATAAACAAAGCCGGTTTGACTATGTGCTTTGTCAATTATACGATACTACAAAGTGTAATACCATATAAAAAAAACAAAAACAGAAGTAATAAAAAAAATCAAACCCATTATTTTTTTTAAAGTGTTTTTTTTTGTCTATAATGTCAGTTTCCTCTTATCAACGGAAATTTAAACAGCCGTTGAGTGGTGATTAGAGTTATGGCTTCAGAACTGATAGTTCTGTATCTGTATACGAACGGACACAGAACTGAATGTTCTGTGTCGGTTCGTATATAAACGGACTAGCGGAAACTCTCCTTAAAGCTAATTTTTATTCTTAAAAGAAATTGAAATAATTGTTAAGGCAATCTTTAGCGGAGCTTTTATTACCTAGAACTTTATCTAAATCAGATAATATATACGAAAAGAGTTTTAAGTCAAACACTTTAAAAATTTTTTTTTGCTGATTTTAACGGTACCACCTTAAAAAGCATAAAAAATTAACTTCAATTTTGCAAGATTTGGAATTGATCTACTATTCCAAAAAAAACAATGGTTAGGTTCGGCCTAGAGTCATCATGATCAATCTGCAACTGGTAACATGTAATCCATCAAGCAAACATTCTATAGCGAAATTTTATTGCTCCTATATAGACATTATAAGCGTTCCAATGTAGTTTTGCTCATCGGTTACCTAGTGGACCATTAGTAGCAGCAGACAAAGTGACTTGTTGATGGCTAGCGACACGTTTTGGAAAATAATCAGCTGGCCATTTTTAGCATATGCATTAAATGGTTCACTGAATACCCGATGAGAAAAACTCCAATAATCCGCACAAAATATAGATCCACTGCAAATTCACGGCAAAAATGTTTGCTGGACAAAAATGTTGCATGTCCTGCTGCCTTGTTGGGTTCGTTTTCTGAGCAAAGCCTAGAAGTAGTGTACTTTGTGTTATCAATACTATCTAAAATCTCTCATGTCTAGAGTGGGATCAGTTTTTGTCTATTATATAGTTGGATGTGTTTTAATTACTGATTTAGATCACCCGTATTTTACTATATAGGTGTGTTTGTGTCCTTTCTGAACATCTGACATGGTATTCGCTCACC